ATGTAGCCAATCCTAATGAGTTTCTGCTGTTGGGCGTGGCCTATTATGCTAATGAGTTCCTGCTGGGCGTGGCCAACTCGGGAGCCAGCCGGAACTCCGTTCCTGTGCGTGCCTGCCCCAAAATAGCCCTCGTGGTCTCCCATCCAAGTACTAACCAGGTCTGACCCTGCTTAGCTTCCAAGATCTGACGAGATGGGGTTATCCTGGGTCATCCAGGTCAGGACGGCAGTCCTCAGTCCCCCCCTAACCGGCTCAGTTATCAAAGTTTCTTCCCTGTGGAGCCAAAAGATCTGATTTTTCATTGCCACAAGCCCAGCATAGAGGCAGATCGTTTGGTGCAGTGTCGTGTAGTGAGAGCCATTTTGGTGTCATGGTTAGGAGCGCGGACTCTAATCTGGGAGAACCGGGTTGGATTCCCCGCTCCTCCACATGCACCTGCTGGTGTGGCCTTGGGCCAGTCACAAGTTCTCTCCGAGCTGTTCTCGCAAGAGCAGTCCTCGAGAGGCAGGGCGTCTGTTGTGGGGAGGGGAAGGAGATTCTAAGCCGCTCTGAGACTCCTTCGGGTAATGAAGGGCAGGGTATACATCCAGTCTCCTCTTCTTCTTTTAAAAGCAGCAGTCCTTTTAATTATTGCACGTTACCCCATTCTCTACCAGACCACGTCCACAATCTGTGGTACAACCTCAGTCATTCATAGAATCATAGAATGTTAGAGTTGGAAGGGACCTCGCAGGTCATCTAGTCCAACCCCCTGCACTCTGCAGGAGCATAGCCGAAAGATAGCCCTACAACATACCCGAAAGATGGTCGTCCAGCCTCCACTTGAAAACGTCCAGCGAAGGAGCATCCACCACCTCCCGAGGCCGTCCATTCCACTGCTCAACCACTCTTACCGTTAGGAAGTTTCTCCTGATATTTAGCCGGTATCGACTCCCTTGTAATTTCCACCCATTAGATCTAGTATTGCAATCCGGAGCAAGAGAGAATAGATCTGCTCCATCTTCTACATGACAGTCCTTCAAATACCTGAAGACTGCAATCATGTCCCCTCGAAGCCTTCTCTTTCCCAGGCTAAACATACCCAACTCTTTGAGCCTTTCCTCATAAGACTTGGATTCCAACCCTCTCACCATTCTGGTTGCCCTCTTCTGGACACGCTCAAGCTGGTCAACATCCTTCCTACAATGTGGTGCCCAAAACTGGACACAGGACTCCAGGTGAGGCCTGACCATAGGAGAACAGAGCGGGACTACCACCGCCCGTGATCTGGACACAATGCTTCTGTTAATGCATCCTAAGATTGCATTCGCTTTCTTCACAGCCACATCGCACTGCAGGCTCACGTTTCGTGCTCCTTGACTACCCCCCCCCGCCACCGCCGCCATGCGCTAGAACCAGACCACCTGCTGGGTTCTGTGCCTGGAATCTGCCGGCGCCGGCTCTCCTCTCTGCTCCGTGCTGAGTGACAGCTCTCCAGATGGCGCCGCCTCCTCCTCCCTCTGCCGGTAGCCGGTATTTCATAATTTATCAGTTTTATTTTCATCCCCTTTGAAGCTCCGTTGTATGTTTGAGATGTCAAGATAAAGCAATTAGTGCTCTCACAAGTCTCTAGACGCCCGGCGCTGGCCGAGGGAGGCACTCAAGAACGCTCCTGTAATGCAAACCGGTCTGCGAAACGAGCCTCGGATTCAAGGCGAATGTCTGGAAATGGCTTTGAGTGGGGCCTTAGAAGCAAAACGATTTCAGTAATAATTTAGGGAGGCCAGCCTCCAGGGGGGGACCTGGGGACCCCCCAGAATTACAGCTCAACTCCATACTACGGAGATCAGTTCCCCTGGGGAAAAGGGATGCTTTGGAGGGTGGGCTCTGTGGCACTGTGCCCCACTGAGTTTCCTGCCCTCCCCGGGCTCCACCCCCATCTCTCTAGGAGTTTCCCAACCTGGATCTGGCAACCCTACGCCCCCATCCTCCGCCGGTGGCCCTTGTTATGGGCAGGGCTTTTTTTTTGTAGAAAAAGCCCAGCAGGAACTCATTAGCATAATAGGCCACACCCAACTGCTGAAACTCATTAGCATATTAGGCCACACCCTGACACCACAGCTCATTAGCATATCAGGCCGCAGCCCCGTGTTACCAGAAGTGTGCTCATCCAGCCACACCCACCTTTTGCTTCTTATTCTGTTTACCTTGTTTGTTGTCAAAACCCAGGGCCTTGTTTTGTAGCAGGGACTCCTTTGCATATTAGGGCACACACCCCTAATGTAGCCAATCCTAATGAGTCTCTGCTGTTGGGCGTGGCCTATTATGCTAATGAGTTCCTGCTGGGTGTGGCCAACTCGGGAGCCAGCTGGAACTCCGTTCCTGTGCGTTCCTGCCCCAAAATAGCCCTGGTTATGGGAGAGTCTTTCATAATGTTTTGAGGAGAGGCTCAAAGAGCTGGAAGGGGAACGCGGCGTTCAACTCCGGTTGGCTCGAGAGGGTCCCCCTCCCCATTTTTCTAAAACATTTCCATTTGGGGGGCATGGGAGGGGGGAATTATTTTCTCCCCCAAATGCCCCCCCTGCAGATTCTCCTCCTCTCTCCCCGTGTTCCGAATTGAATTGCGTAGCCCGCACAACTTCCAGTCGGCAGCCTCTTTCCCGTGACCCGCATCACAGTGCAAACAGGAGGTGACCTTCCAGGCCGAGCCGTTGTGTTCTCGTCTTGTTTGCCTTTCCAGGCCGAAGCCTCCGTCATGCTTGATCTTCCCCGGGAAGCGCAACGGAGGCCACGAGCCCGCTTGGCTTTTGTCCTGTGCTCTTGTAAGGGTTTAAAAGGCCCTTCTCTCCGCCAACAAACCTTTTAGCTTCCCTGGGAGGGGAGAAAAACACTTCCCCACTCGAGTTTGGGGCGTGTGCCAAAAATACTTAGCAATAGCTTTTGGCTGGCAATGGTTCCGGGTGCCGAGACGTCAGCCTTGTGCTGTGTCTTTTAGGGGTGTTTTTGCACAGCTCTCCCACAAGGCCTTGCCCTTCTGCGCCAGTGCTATTATTAGCGTCTCCACCACATGGGTTTCCCTTTCTAACATTTCCTTCGATTGGACCATTAGCCAGCAGCCGCCTTCGATAGAGTTTCCCCCCCCCCCAAAGAACCTCCGGATTTGGATGGGGTCCCTCAAGTGATCTATTTTCCGTCGCGGCACCACGGACGTTCATTAGAAGCCCATTTTTGCCATCCATATGCCTCCGATATTTGTCATTTAGTTGTTTCCAGCTCTCTTTGCCCCGGGCAAAAACACTCCGCGTGAGGCACAGCGGCACTGCCTCGCCTCTCGCCTCACATTATTAAGAGGAGATATTTCAGCTTAGAGAAGGATTCTAAAACCCGTGTGCTGTAAAGGTGACCTGGCCCTGGAACCTCCGTTGTTCTCACTGGCGGTGACCTCGGCAAGGTACATCTTCATTAGCGGAGGGACAGTGTGGGAAGGGCGGCCGCGGCGGCGTTTACCTTTGGCTCGATGGTCCTCCTCTTTGGGGCACTTGCCTCCCTCCCACCACTTCCGCTTCAAGATTTCTAGACGGTTGTTCTCTTGCAGCTGGAGAATGGCCAAGTCGAACTCGTCACGGAAGGCGGAACCTGCAAAGCCAAGAGAGATGCTTGAAAGGGGGAGCCGATACGGTGCCTGTTTTTATATGTGTGTGTGTGTATACACACACACATACATATACAGGGCTATTTTTGGGCAGGAACGCACGGGAACGGAGTTCCGGCTGGCTCCTGAGTTGGCCACGCCCAGCAGGAACTCATTAGCATAATAAGACACACCCAACAGCAGAAACTCATTAGGATTGGCTACATTAGGGGCCTAGCATGCAAAGGACTTCCTGCTACAAAAAAGGCCCTGGGTTTTGACAACAAACAAGGTAAACAGAATAAGAAGCAAAAGGTGGGTGTGGCTGGATGACCACACTTCTGGTAGCATGGGGGTGTGGCCTAATAGGATAATAAGCTGTGTTGTCAGGGGTGTGGCATAATATGCTAATGAGTTTCTGCTGTTGGGTGTGGCCTATTATGTTAATGAGTTCCTCCTGGGCTTTTTCTACCAAAAAAAGCCCTGTATATACGCACAGTTTATTATAGAACTGACATTTTCAGTGGTACCCTTTACCTTTCCCATTTACATACTGTTTAGCTTTTTTTTTTAAAAAAAAAAACACAAGCAAATCTGATCTGTGGTTTATTGGATTGATTTGTTGTTGCAGTTATGCACCCAGTTCACACATGGGGTTGCCAGCTCTGGATGGGGAAATACCTGGAGATTTTTTTGGGGGGGATGTAGACCCTGGGGAGGGAGGTCTTTTGGGACAGGAGGGACCTCAGTAGCAATGTTCCCTCTAAGCTGCGGAGCCTTGTGAGCAAAAATTCTACCTTGTGAGGTCCTGGCATTAAAGTTGTGAGCGAGCGATTTGGCGACTGCGTAAATCAGTTTGCTCTGGAGCCATCCCTTCCTGAGCCGAGACAAAAAGGTGTGATCCGGAGGCTAAAAAACTGTGAGCTGGCTCACACTAACTCAGCTTAGAGGGAACACTGCTCAGCAGGGTACGATACCATAGATTTCACCCTCCAAAGCAGCCATTTTCTCCAGGGGAACTGATCTCTGTCATCTGGAGAGCAACTGTAATAGCTGGAGATCTCCAGGTACCACCTGTACACATGCAGGAGACGGCGGCAGTAGAATGGACCGATTGCACCACTTGGAACTGTATATGGTGGATTCCAGCTTTGCATGTGCTTTGATATCAAAACATCCATACATATAGACAACTAACATAGCAGGAAAAGAGGTTCTGGGGCTCTTCTCTACACTTGCTATGCTGGTTTTCTGTTTGCAGGGAGTTTTTAATCTTCCCACATGTGATCATCCACCTACAACCTGAAGTTGTTTAGTCCGGTCTATCATTTCAGGTCTGCGTCTCTCCACTACTACCTTTACTAACTCAGCCTAAGGTACCACTGCAGGGTTTTTGCCCTTTAAACATTCTGCTTACCTTTACTGCTGAAACCTTATATTGCAGAGCAGGATGTATCCACGACCATCAATAATCGTGTATACTCCCATTCCTTTATTTCCCAAAAGTGAATAGGTAATTTTATCCTGTTTTTCCGTGAAAACATGATTTCTACTTTTTAGGGCTCGAAGAGGATTCTACAGCCGGTATGGATCTTGAGCCCCCAGGCATGGCTCTTTTGACAATAGTCACTAATTAAATAAGAAGAGCTTTTTTTCTTGAGCGCTCTTAATTCTCACTTAATGCACTTGCATTTATTTATTTATGTCCCACTTTCCTACTCAGCTGAGACTTAACGGCTGCCGCTGTTTGTTTAAGAATTTGTGAAAAGCTCAGGATCTAAATGGATGTGTTGGCACGGAAGATAAACAAAGGGTGCGAGGGTGGGTAGAAGGGCGATTTTATGAAGCAAAGAAACAGCCAGTAGATGCCGAACCTTTCCCCAAGCCAAGCTTCCCCCCCCCCCCAGCTCCAAGGTGGTCTCCAACAGGAAGCCCTGCTTGGAGAAAACTATTTTTTGGGGGGGGAGGAACTTTTGAGGTGGGTAGTCCGAACAGGGAATGTGTTCAGCGCCCCCGCCCCGGTTGCTTGTGTGTCCCCATCGCTTCGGGTTTTCTTTTCTTTTCCACACACGTTTTGCTCCCCCCTAGAAACTACAGGTTTTTATGCTAGACGTGCAGCAATGTAATATTGAATCGACCACAAGAGGCAGCAAAACACGTGCAGAAAAGAAAAGATAACCCGAAGCAATAGAGACACACAGGTGATGAAAATGAAAATGCGGAACAGCCCAAGAGCTTCTGGCAGAGCAGGGTACAGAATTCTGCTAATTTACTAGCTGTAAATTATTTCTTTTCCAAAGGTTGCTAAGGGACTATAGTCCTTTCTTTGACTCCTCATCCTCCTTATTGTACGACGCCTTACGGATTTTGACTGCAGCTCCCACAACACGCTGGAAGGCACCATGGTGTCTTATTAGGTCCAGAAAGCATCAAACTGGAGCCCAGATATTTCCATCCCGCTCCACCCCAAGCCCCGTATTCAGTCTGCTCCCTCTAAAGACAAAAGAGCGCCTCAAAATCAGTGCTCACCCTTTGTATAACAGCAATGGCAAGAAACATTCAGACTGTGGTTAATCCCCTGAGTTACTGGGAGCATCGTTCAGTTCTCAAGACTGGCGCACAGTCATGCAAGTTAACAGAAGCCCATTGGGTCATTTAACAGCAGAGCAGAGGTTAAATAAAAAGACACGCGAACTATTGATTTGTTGGCTTTGATACTGAGCCTTTGAAACACTAACCTCACCACATACATACACCCAGTGTCCTGTAAACATTAATTAATAAGTTAATTAACCTTAATTCAAGCCAAGATTGTGCTGGAGGATTTCCTTATGGCTTGTGCTCCGCAATACTTACTGGTTTACGTTCCAGGAGGGTAGACATGTTGGTCTCCGCTTAGAAGAGCAAGAACTGAGTCTATGTAGCACCTTAGAGACCAACTAGATTTCCAGGGTATTCAGCTTTTCAGAACCAGATCTGACAAAAGGGAACTTTGGTAATTTGCAATGTAAACCGCTCAGAGAACCTTCGGGATTAGAGCGGTATGAGAAATTGAAAGTGTAAATAAAATAAATAAATAAACTTTGACTCTCGAAAGCTTAAACCCTGAAAATCTTGCTGGTCTCTGAGGCGGCTAAACATCTGGATCAGAGGTCCATCAGTGGCTATTAGCCACAAGGTATAGATGGAACACTCTGTCTGGGGCAGGGATGCTCTGTCTTCTTGGTGCTTGGGGGGGGCAACCATGGGAGGGCTTCTGGAGTTCTGGCCCAGCTGGTGGACATCTCCTGATGGCGCCTGGTTTTTGGCCACTGTCTGACACAGTGTTGGACTGGATGGGCCAATGGCCTGATCCAGCATGGCTTCCCTTATGTTCTTATGTCTGAGGCAGTGATGCCCTGTATTCGTGGTGCTGGGGGGGGGGGACAGCGGGCTGGAGTTCTGGCCCCACTGGTGGACCTCCTGATGGCGCCTGGTTTTTGGCCACCTTGTGACACAGAGTGTTGGACTAGAAGGGCCACTGGCTTGATCCAACAGGGCTTCTCTGATGTTCTTATGGTCTAGGTGCTACAGGACTTGAATCTAACTACTCTCACAGAAAGCTAATCTGAATGACCCAAACTTGTGAGGTACACTCCTCCCAGAAGGAGAGGGCAGACCTTTAAAAGACATATCTTTAAAGGAAGAAGACGAAGAAGAGAAGAGATTGGATTTATACTCCGCCCTTCACTACCGAAAGGTGTCTCAGAGCGGCTTACAAACTCCTTCCCCTTCCCCTCCCCACAACAAACACCCTGTGAGGCAGGTGGGGCTGAGAGAGCTCTGACAGAAACTGCTGTTTTTCGAGGACAGCTCTTATCAGAACTATGGCTTGCCCAAGGTCATCCAGCCAGGTGCAAGTGGAGGAGTGGGGAATCAAAGCCGTTTCTCCCAGATTAGAGTCAGCGCACTTAACCACTACACCAAACTGGCTCTCTGCAAAGGATATGCCTTTGAAGAGGGACACGGGTACAGGTGAATTTGAAAAGCGGAGACTCTCAGCACTGGCAGGTCTTCTCATCAGAGAGGAGGAGCGGAAAAACCTGATTGGAGATGCCCTCTAGGACTTGAATCTAGATCTTGTTCATTTAAATTCATAGAAGGGGCCTGGCTTACAATAGTTAGAAATGTCAATTTTGTTTTCCAAGAGCCCCTCTTTCACAGCTCTTGAATTATTTGTATTTCTACTTTTATTCTGGCTTGTTGTAGGGCACAAGTACCCCTGTGACTTTTCTACCCTTCCTGTATTATTTTCTTTGTTTGCTGCTATTCAGTCGTTGATAAACACTTGAAGCAACTGCCTAGGAGCTATCAAGCAGCTAGCGTTACAGAGAGCCCCATGTCTATTTTAGGACCATTGTTCCATCTGGCAATTTCCAAACCACCCTTCAGTCAGGATCTACTCCTCTTCTTACCCCTCAAACAAGCTGAGCCTGAACTCTTAAGACCCGCCCAACCAGGATGACTTCCTTCCTGAAGAAAAGTTGGATTTGCAGCTGCAAGGGCAAGAATCTTTTTGGTGGTGGCCCCGCCACTGTAGAATGGGATGAGGGCCGCCTCTTCCCCATGCAGCTTAGACGGCAATGCTGCTAGGGTTGCCAAGTGGCACTTACCTTGGCGGGGGACTCCCGTGTGGTTCCCGGCGCGTGCGCACGCGCCGCATGCACATCACAGGGAAGTGACGTCATGATGCCGGGCACACTGGGGGCGGGGCCATGACCATACAAGGAGAAACCATAGAGTTTTCCCTTGTATGGCCGTGGCCCCACCCCCAGCGTGCCCGGCATCATAACGTCACTTCCCTGTGACGTGCATGCTGGGGCGGGGTTCCCCCCGGGGCCCAATTCCCCAGCATCAGGGAACGGGCCTCTGGGGGGGGGGTTCCGCCCCCTGGGGGGACTTGACAGCCCTAAATGCTGCCTAGGCAGGAGTTGGTTTTAACATGTTACTTGTCAGGAAAAGTATCGACTTGGTTTTAATTTACATCTACGTTTTGACGAGTTCTAAATTGTCTGCATAGGCTCGTACTGGGAAACCACGCGGAACGTTGCAGAAAAGGGGTAGAGAAGTATATGAAATAAATACATCTAGGTTGACCAAGTACAAAAATTGAGCATTAGCAGAACACTCTTAAGCCTTCCATCTGAGATGCCCCCCAGATGAATACGCGAACGCGCAGCCGATTTGGCAGAGTTATCCCTCCGAAGCCAGGTGGCGCACAGGAGGGCTGTGGAATGAAGCTGGCATTTGTTCTGAAACTCTTTTCCAGCCTACTCATGCCCTGATCCTCCGCAGACAGCCCGGAAGAGCTAGAATTTTGCTTCACTGCCTACCGACTGGCATGCCAATCCCGTAGCCCTTGGTGTCCAGAAGGCCCCCGACCTGCGTGAGGTTGCAATTGCGCTGACGGTAATACTCGTTCATGGTGGACTCCAGCAGGAAGGCGTAGTTGGAGTTGAGGACGCGCGCGATCCCTTCTTCTGTGCTCTTGACAAAGACGCTCGGCTGCTTGGAATACATGTAGTTCCACATCCTCTGGTACGTCTGGTACCGGGAGTTCTGCAAAAGAGCCAAGGAGCAGCCGGGATGAGGCAAGGATCGTGGTCAGGCTCGGAGGGACAATTGCCACCCTTGGCCGGAAATGGGCATTGGGGGGCTGAAGCACACACCAGGGAGTGAAGAAGAAGAAGAGACTGGATTTATGCCACACGATTCACTACCCGAAGGAGTCTCAGAGCGGCTGACACTCTCCTTTCCTTTCCCTTCCCCTCGCCACAACAGTCACCCTGTGAGGTAGGTGGGGCTGAGAGAGCTCTTTGAGGACTGCCCTTGAGAGAACAGCTCTAAGAGAACTTGTCGCTGACCCAAGGTCACACCAGAAGCTACGTGTAGAGCCGTGGGGAATCAAACCCGGTTCTCCCAGATTAGAGTCCGCGCTCTTAACCACTACACCAAACTGGCTCTACGGTGCTGAATCCTGGCTGAACCGTGTGCGCAACCATTAAGTAAACCCGACATCCCTGACGTTTTTGAACCTGCAGGCATCTTTAGGATCCTGACACAATACAACACAACACCTTTACTGGCATGTAAGACAATAAAATAAAATAAGAACTTCCATCAGGTATCATTACACCTGCAAATCTTAAGACACGTCAGTGTTAAAAATGGTTCCTTGCTGCCAAGATCTTGGACAAGAATTCAGCAATCTGTGCAGTAACGTCTGGTGACTCATCAGCTAGAAGGTACCTCATTGCGTTGTCAGAGTTAATCCTAGACAGTATGGGCTTAATCAGGGGTCATTTCCTGCAGGAGCACACAGGAGCGGAGCTCCGGCAGTAAAGAGCCCAGGGGGCGGGCATATGCAACAAGCCCCACCCCCTGCTCCCAGCAGCCCTCAGTCAAAGCAAGAAGCAGCCAGGTAAGTTGCAGAGCCCCCCGTCCAAAACAGTCCAGTGGCACCAAGCTTTATTCTGGTACAAGCTCTCCCTCCTCTGCGAGGACAGATCTGCACGTTCTCCCCTCCCCAATAGCTAGCAATCCAAAACAGTCCAGTGGAGCCTGAGCGGTGGGTGTTGCCTTCTTACACACTTCTGGTGATGTCAGGGGGTGTGGCATATGCAAATGAGTTATGCTAATGAGTTATACTAATGAGCTCTTGCACCTCTTTTTCTACGAAATGACCCCTGGGCTTAATCCAAAGTAATCAAAGATGTGAGTGAAGGGGGCAGTGTAACAGGATATGGTCTAAGGCAGTGATGGAGAACCTTTTAGAGACCGAGTGCCCAAACTGTGACCCAAAACCCACATTTATCGCAAAGTGCCAACACGGCAATTTAACCTGAACACTGAGGTTTTACTTTAGAAAAAACAACTCATACATTAACTTAAGCTGATCCAAACAAAGTAAGGAAAGCAATCCCAAATGCTTTCATTTACTTAAAATTATCTGGCAGAGAATTCGACACTTTAATAATGGTCTGGACCTGGCTGGGGTGATGGCACGCGTGCCCGCAGAGAGGGCTCTGAGTGCCGCCTCTGGCACCCGTGTCATAGGTTCACCAACACTGGTCTAAGGTATCAGGTTCTCCAGATGAGCAATTACAAATTCTGTCACATTTTGGGATACCTCTATATCTACCTGAAACCCAAGATGAGGGAAAAACATTAAATCTGGCTAGCATAAAGGCTCTGTGTTGCAGCCGGATCACCAAATTAGAAAAGTATTGTGCCATACTGTTTGGTACATATCTGAGGCCGAGGGAAAGGGGGGGCACGTACCCCCAGCACCAGTGTTCCCTCTAAGCTGAGTTTGTGTGAGCTAGCTCACAGTTTTTTAGCCTCTGTCTCACACATCTTTGTCTTAGCTCAGGAAGGGATGGCTCCAGAGCAAACGAATTTATGCAGTAGCCAAATTACTCGCTCACAACTTTAATGTCAGTAGCTCACAGAGTAGACTTTTTGCTCACGAGACTCCACAGCTTAGAGGGAATATTGCCCGGCACCGGCCTGAATTATTTGGGCTTCAATGTTCCAAATTCTTCTACGGATTGACACAGCATGGTGGGTGCAGCCCAATGCTCCCTCTAAGCTGTAGTCTTGTGAGCAAAAATTCTACCTTGTGAGCTTCTGGCATTAAAGTTGTGAGCGAGTGATGTGGCTACTGCGTAATTTAATCTGCTCTGAAGCCAGCCTTTCTGAGCGAGGACAAAAAGGTGTGAGCCGGAGGCTAAAAAACTGTGAGCTAGCTCACACTAACTCAGCTTAACGGGAACACTGGTGCAGCCATAAGATGGCTGCCATAGGAGATGGAGCTGACCACAAAATGGCTGCCGCAGCTGACCTCCAACCACACAGCGAAGATGCTTGTGCTGTGGTGGGCAGCTGCTATCGACCTGATAGGGAGGTTGCAGTATAAAATGACAGGACTGAATAGAACCACTGCAATTGTGCAATCAATACTTAACAATTATTACAAAATTATGAATCACACATTTACAGTAATGTCATGTTTTACAGATAAATAGATGAAATAGATGATAAATAGATGAAATAGATGGACAAAATTCCCCGGAGTCGATGTTTCGTTTCGTGGGGACTTCTTCAAACATCAAACCTCCTATCAAGAAACATTCTAAGAGTTATACCAGGAAAATACACCCAGCTACAATACATACATACAATGAATATGTGAAGGCATGAAACATCGACTCCGGGGAATTTGCTGTTCCCGTGCCGACAGGCCATTCAGCATTTACGAGACAGCGAACGGCTCACCTGGAAAAAGGTCATGCTGGAGCCTCCGTGGATTGTGCCATACTCGATGGCGGTCTGGTCTGCGAGGTCGTCTACGGATTCGATGGGCACATCCATGCGCTGCACAGTGAGGAAGGCAGCCAAGTTGGCCGTGTAGGAGGAGATGATGATCAAGGTGAAGGCCCACCTGGGGAGAAAGAGGCCAAGTCAAGCGGAGGCTCTCCACATTCTGTTTGCTCCCCAGAGGAACCACCTCGTCTTTCTTTTGGAAACATGAACCCGGCTCTCAAAGATGCTGAGCACACACTGCTCTCCCGGCGGGTTTCGGTGCAAAAACTCATTACGTCGAGGAAGATCAGTGGTCTGAAGCAGGGATCCCCAACCTTTCTGAGCCTGTGGGGAACCTTTGGGATTCTGACACGGCGTGGTGGGTGGAGCCACAGAATGGCCGCTCCAGGAGGCGGAGCCAGCCACAAAATGGCTGCTGCCGCTTAACTCTGGTCACACAGTGCCGATCTTTGGGCTGCAGTGACATCTGCTTCCAAAGCGACATGTAAAGAAATCTGCACAGCCCAGCCAATCTCCAATAGTCAACCAGAAGACTTGCTGAGCAAACCCCCTTCTTGGCCACACCTATTGCATAAAAAAACATTTGGTAGCGCATTGCTCCCTCTGAGCCCCTGGAAATCTTAAAGCAGCCTGAGCCACCCTTACAACATTAGATCGGGATCGACCATTAGGATGGCATGGAAGTTGAGTGCCATCTTAGACGTAATGTTAAATTGATATCTGTTACTGGAAATCGGATTATTATTGTTAGCACCTTTTAATATTGTTATTGTTATGGTTTTAAGGTTGTTATTTTATGCATTGTAGTTTTTATGTTGTTGTAAGCCGCCATCGTCTGCCCTTCTGTTTCCCACGCCATCTGCAGCCCTCCCCTGTCTCTCTCATCTGTAAAAACAACGTCCGAGGGTCAGGGTCCGTCCAGAGCAGTTGGCACCCCTTTTTAATTTGAACACAGAATCATAGAGTTGGAAGGGACCCCCCAGGGTCATCCAGTCCAACCCCCTGCACAATGCAGGAAATTCTCCTCCCCCCCCCAGTGACCCCCGTTCCATGCTGGAGCTCTGAATCTGAACCCTTATTTGTCATAATTGGTTTCTAAAGTTTTGAGATGGGAGGGAGGGTGTGTTTTTTGTTTTCCAAAAGGAAATGCAATTTTTCAAAAAGGAAAGGCAGACTTGGGGGGGGGGGGGATGATGGTATGAAACGGCCGGGCGATGTGGAGTGACGTGACCAACGGAGCCGAGACAGAGGATGCGCTAGCGGAGAGACAGAAGATCACCAAAACGCCGTCCCTTCCGCGGAGAAAACTCTTTGCATCCTTGCCTGCCTTCTGAATCTTCGCTGCTTGTGCCCTTTCAAGATTAAAATCTGCCCCCAAAGACTGCCAAGCTTGCTTTAAAGAGGCGGAGATGCCAAAATATCAAATTCACAACGAGATGCTGCACCGGTAGAGTCAGCTCGCAGGCGTATGGGATACATAAAGCCGTATTTATTGTTTCAAAAAACAGACAGCGGTGCTTGGGAGTAAATCAAATACTTTGGAAACTGCTTCTCTTAGGGCCGAACGACACACGGAAGCTGCAAAATTGGTGGCTCCCCCCCCAGTGCTGTTTTCACATGAGAAAATTGCTGGTGGGACAGGCAAGAGACCTTCCTTCTTGGTGTCTGGGCTCTCCTTTCTTTCTTTTTAGAAGCAGTTCCCAAGCCCCCGCAGGGAACAACCTTAAAACAGGAGGGGAAAAAAAACCCTAACGTGCAGTTTAGCTCTTAGTCGCGAGGAAAGTGAAAAATACACCCAGGCCCCTCCGTGTATCACCCACAGGCAGTGTTCCCTCTAAGCTGAGTTGGTGTGAGCTAGCTCACAGTTTTTTAGCCTCCGGCTCACACATTTCTGTCTTCGCTCGGGAAGGAGGGCTTCCGAGCAAACTGATTCATGCAGCAGCCAGATCGCTCGCTCACAACTTTCATGCCGGCCGCTCACAAAGTAGAATTTTTGCTCACAAGAGTCCACAGCTTAGAGGGAGCATTGCTGCAAAGCAGTCCTTAGAATCATAGAATCATGGAGTTGGAAGGGACCTCCGGGGTCATCTAGTCCAACCCCCTGCACAATGCAGGAAATTCCCAAATACCTCCCCCTCCACACCCACAATGACCGCTGTCCCACGCCCAGAAGATTAGTTCCCCTGGAGAAAATGGCTGCCCCAAGCCGCCCCCCCTTTTTGCTCAAGAGTGGGTCTAGATCCACTCCCTCCGGGGGATGCCTGTCAACCAGTGTTCCCTCTAAGCTGAGTTAGTGTGAGCCGGCTCACAGTCTTTTAGCCTCCGGCTCACACGTTTGTGTCTCAGCTCAGGCAGGAGGGCTCCAGAGCAAACTGATTCACGCAGCAGCCAAATCGCTCGCTCACAACTTTAATGCCCATAGCTCACAAAAGTAAAGATGGGAGTGGCCAGTGGCCAGTCAGTTTATTCGGTATATCACCAGCCCAATTACAAACAATACAAAAGGGTACCAATAATATATATAAAATATTTAAATATAAAACTGCGTTTGATCTGCATATGTTACTTACAAAATTACTAAAACTCTAAATTTCTACAATACTCTATCAACTGTTATTCAACTGTTGAATAAATATTATAGAGGTTATACAAGTCTACTCCCTATCTCCTAAGTCAGTGTTGTGGATTCTTTCTAAAATTATACTACATGTGCAGCCCGTATTTTTGGCTATTGCTAGAAACTTAGCACAATTTATTATAATCTGTGGAGCGGGATCGAATAATAGCTTCCTACTTATCTCCTTGTCCACGTATCCGTGGTACTTCCTTATAACGGGATGAAGCTCACAAAAGTAGAATTTTTGCTCACTGGACTCCACGGCTTAGAGGGAGCACTGCCCACAGGATCATCCTGATCCGGAGTTAGTGTGGCATGTGGTGAGACGGCTGGACTAGGGTTGTGGTTGGAGACCTGAGTTCAAATCCCCACTCCTCCATTTTTATTTTTTATTTAAAACATTTACTAGCCGCCTTTCCTCCTTTCGGGGCTCAAGGAGGTTTACAAACACAGATAAAACACACAGAATAAAATAGGTTAAAAACATCAGACCAAGATTTAAATTCACTGTTTATTGCTCCGCTGTGAAGCCAGGGTTGCCAGCTCTGGGCTGGGCAATTCCTGGAGATTTGGGGGGAGGAGCCCGGGGAGCCCGGGGGAGGCGGGGTTTGGGGAGGGGAGGGGCCTCGGTGGGGTGTATAATGCCACAGGGTCCACCTTCCAAAGCAGCCATTTTCTCCAGGGGAACTGAGCCAATGCTCCCTCTAAGCTGTGGAGTCCTGTGAGCAAATGTTCTACTTTGTGAGCTGCTGGCATTAAAGTGGTGAGCCAGCGATTTGGCGGCTGCATCAATTGGTTTGCCCTGGAGCCCATCCCTTCCTGAGCTGAGACAAAAATCTGTGAGCCGGCGGCTAGAAAACTGAGCTAGCTCACACTAACTCAGCTTAGAGGGAACCCTGGAACTGACCTCTGTAACCTGGAGACGAGCTGTACGCCAGTGAAGCTGCCTTATACTGAATCTGAAGCTGCCTTATACTGAATTACTTATACTAATAATAAATCAAAATAATAAATAAGAAGAGGAAGAAGAGATTGGATTTATACCCCGCCCTTCGCTACCCAAAGGTGTCTCAGAGCGGCTGACAAACTCCTTTCCCTTCCCCTCCCCACAACAGACACCCTGTGAGGTAGGTGGGGCTGAGAGAGCTCTGACAGGAACTGCTCTTTTTCAAGGACAGCTCTTATCAGAACTATGGCTTGCCCAAGGTCATCCAGCCAGGTGCAAGTGGAGGAGTGAGGAATCAAACCTGGTTCTCCCAGATTAGAGGCCGTGCACTTCACCACTACACCAAACTGGTAGAGCATCTGCTTGGTATGAAAAAGACCCTAGGTGGTCCAGGAAGGAGGAGGAGAAGAAGTTGGATTTATACCCCGCCCTTCACTACCTGAAGGAGTCTCAGAGCGGCTTACAAACTCTTTTCCCTTCCCTTCCCCACAACAGACACCCTGTGAGGTAGGTGGGGCTGAGAGAGCTCTGACAGAAACTGCTCTTTTTCAAGAACAGCTCTTATCAGAACTATGGCTTGCCCAAGGTCATCCAGCCAGGTACATGTGGAAGAGTGGGGAATCAAACCCGGTTCTCCCAGATTAGAGTCCGCGCACTTAACCACTACACCAAATAAATAATCAGGCCCTTGGTCCATTAAAGTCAGCATTGTCTACTCAGACTGGCAGTGGCTCTCCGGGATCTCAGGCTGAGGCCTTTCACATCACCAGCTGCTAGATCCTTTCAACTGGAGATGCCGGGGATTGAACCGGGGACCTTTTGCATGCCAGGCAGAAACCCTCCCACTGAGCTGTGTCCCATCCCCATGGAGATCTCCAGCTACTGCCTGGAGACTGGGAACCCTACATGAAGCTTTGGCCAGCCACTCTCCATCAGCCTCACCAACTCTGCAAAGTTGTTGTGAGGATAGCACGGAGGAGAAAAGAGCCACGCAACGCCACCCTGGGCACTCTGGAGCAAAGGCCAACATTTCTGGTGGCACTGCGATACCGTTTCGCTCTGCTCCAAGTTCCCAAAGCTCTTTAATGAACACCGTCCCCCCCACCCCGGCCAAAACTACGGTGAACCATCACAGAAAGGAAGAAAGACGATGCGTGTGATTACTTACCAAACGCCGCTGACACAACGTGTGGACAGAGCCCGAGGGGCGATGGTGGACCCCTGCTGCATGAACCCGCCGACCGGAAACCACAGGCTGTTGCCGAGGGAGTACTGGTTGACCAGCAGATTGCATCTCCCTTGGGAGCAAGGGTGGGGGCTGTACCACTCGTAAGGGGTCAATCTACATGGGGAAAAGCACGACACATCCAACTGTACCTGTGCGCAAATACTACTTGGGACTGGAAACAGTGTTGATAAACCCCCTAGCTCTCTGGGAGGCGGAGCTTCACAGTTATCTAATTGGCAGCTGGTACCAACAGCCAATTTTTCAAGAACAGCTGTTATCAGAACTACGAACATGAAGTTGAGGAAACTTCAGAGGACGGCGGAAGACAGCAAGGCCTGGAGTGATCTGGTCCATGGGGTCGCGAAGAGTCAGACTCGACTGTGCGACTGAACAACAACCAACAGCCTCACCCTGTAGACTTGGTAGATTTTGCAGGAGATGTGGAGAAGATACAGGTCAGGCTTGGCAGGGTGCGGTTGTTGCATTCCTGGATGAATAAAGCACTGTCGAGTTGCAACTGATATGGCAACCCCATAGGGGTTTCCCAGGCAAGAGACATTCAGAGGTGGTTTGCCACTGCCTTCCTCTGCATAGCAACTCCAGTCCTCCTCCGTGGTCTCCCTTCCATGTACTAATCAGGGCTGGCCCAGTTTAGCTTCCGAGATCTGACAATATCGGGCCAAGTCGGGCTATTCAGACTGCTGTCCTGCTATTTGGGCCTAACTGAGTTACGGAGAAAGGCTGGTTCTCTGGGTTCTTCACTGACCTTTTAGGACACCAGGAAAGAATGCTTAAATATTTTAATTGGTTTTTCTTGTGACCCCGGCTGCTCTGATGTCAAAAGCGTGCCATCGCCTAGAGGGGCCTCCCCATTCATTTCCAGGGAAACATCTCTGTGAGTCTCAAGGCGTGCCTAAGCGGGAAGGCTTTAGAGAAATGCTGAGGTCGGTGGGATTATTTTGGAATTTCTGCACGGTTAAATAAAACCAACGTCAGTGGGGATTCTGTGTCTCGTAGATAACTATGCTTGAAAATAGTTCAGGGATTAGCCGAGACATTTTCATAGAATCACAGATTCACAGAGTTGGAAGATTCACAGAGTACAGGCCATTTGGTCCAACCCCTTGCTCAATGCAGGATCACCCAAAAAAGAGGGGGAGGAATAGGGTTGCCAAGTCTGTTTTTCTTGGTGGTGGGGGGCTCCCAGACGGCGTCCCGAGCGCGCGCATGTGCCGCATGCACGTCAGCTGGATGTGACGTGATGACGCCGGGCACGCTGGGGGGGGGGCCACAGCCATCTGAGGGGGAAACCCCAGCGTGTCCGGCATCATCACATCACCTCCAGCTGATGTGCATGCGGGGTGCGCGTGAACCTGACCCGAAAGGATCTTACTGTCTAGGACAGGCAATGGTGAACAGGAGAAGGGGAGAAGAGCAAGATTTATGAGTAGTAAGGGATGGATGTGGACTGTTGCTATTACACATACTTAGGCTTAGTTAAAGTTTAACATGAGCTGAAAAAGGTGATTTCTGAAAAGTGATCAGAAGGGTTAGAAGAGCACCATGCAGAGGTCATTTCGGGGGGGGATAGCGGGGGAACGCAGTCCCCCCGGGTGAGGTACGGGGGGGCGGTGCTTCCTCGCACTCCCGCTGGCCTTGCAGGTCCACCGCCGGGCCCCTGATGTCAGGGGGTGTGGCATATGCTAATGAGTTATGCTAATGAGTCCCCCTAGCTCTTTTTCTACGAAATGACCCCTGTAAAAACATAATAAGTGTACAAAATAGCGTTTATTACAAAGACATATAAAAACCTAGCAGGGACACAAATAAAGCCTCATAAAATGTACAAAGTTACAAATACACACAAAAGAGAACAGTGTATGACCTGACGCGTTGTCCCTGACAAGGCAATTCTATTTGCACTCTTAGGACCTAAACTGGAAGATATATCGTATTTACAGTTCATACAACAACTTCTGACACAAGGCCAGATATATTTGTGGCCCCTAATAGAAACATTTTGGTGTGTCATTAAATTCCATATTGGAACATGCCACTTTTGGTCCTATTTTATTTTATTTTATTAATTTATTGTTAATTGCCTTACATGTGTTACAGGGACTCTTGCTTGTTATATTTCGCACTATTTGACCTCTGAAGAAGGCTCTTGTGAGCCGAAACGCGTCAGGTCATACAGTGTTCTCTTTTGTGTATAACTTTGTACGTTTTATGAGGCTTTATTTGGGCCCCTACTAGGTTTTTATATGTCTTTGTAATAAACACTATTTTGTACACTTATTATGTTTTTAACTTTTGGCCTTCTATTAGTTTTCTAAACTTCCTTAGGAGGTCAATGCAGGATCAGCCTAGAGCAGTGGTGGCGAACCTATGGCACGGGTGCCAGAGGTGGCACTCAGAGCCCTCTCTGTGGGCACGCGTGCCATCGCCCCAGCCAGGCCCAGACCATCATTATAGTGTCGAATTCTCTGCCAAATAATTTCAAGTAAATGAAAGCATTTGGGATGGCTTTCCTTACTTTGTTTGGATCCTCTTAAGTTAATGTAGGAGTTGTTTTTTCCTAAAGTAAAATCTCAGTATACAGGTTAAATTGCCATGTTGGCACTTTGCGATGAATAAGTGGGTTTTGGGTCGCAGTTTGGGCACTCGGTCTCTAAAAGGTTCACCATCACTGGCCTAGAGCATCCCCGACAAGTGTTTGTCCAGCCGCTGCTTAAAGACTGCCAGTGAGGGGGAGCTCACCAGCTCCCTAGGCAGCCGATTCCACTGTTTTTTTAAAAAACAATTTTTATTATTTTCAATAACAATAACGTGTATAATATTAACAGTAAAGGGACTGTATAGAATAATAGTTATAACAAGAACAGCAGTTCCAAATTTCCCAGGCGATACAACGCATCAAGTAGAATTCAAGATAAGTATTGAAAACTAAATAACTACCTGACTATTTATACTACAGTCTCATGAATTCATAACTGCCATGCGGTGTAAAAGAAATCCTTCTAACAGAGTTACAATCCAGTCGTTCTAACACAGGCCACCATTTGCTAATAAAATCTTGGTCTGCCGCGTGGGGGAACACGGGATTTTATACGGCTTCTTTGTCTCTGCCTGTGTCTTAAGGACTCCAAAAGAAGAGTTATTTTATTTATCTCGTGAGGATCTTTCTTTTTTTTGGTGCAAGAGAGTTTCTCGCCTTTTTTAACACAGTAAAATGCCATCCTGACTGAAGCACTCTGACAAATGCGCTGGGGTGGGGGAAGGCGTCCGGGCTCTTAGCTAGAAATGCCTGGCATTTGTGGGGCATTACCTGAAGCCACATCTCCTCTGTGGCACGAACAAGTCCCGACCCCTTTGGTTAAAGCATCATGCTGGTGGAGATGCATCGAGAGAAGCCGTAGCTCAATGCCGACGGGGCATCGCCGCGTTATCGAGAGGCTTTTAAAAGCTGTACATTACTGTCCATGAACTCTACAACTTCAGTTGTGCCATGGGGCTCGAGGGACTGCGCGGTGACATTTTATAACAGTTCTGCAGCTTTATAGCAATATCACCACACCTGTAAATGGTGTTGAATCCCTGGGGCCTCTTTCACTTAAGGGATAAAGAACGCTGCAGCTGTGCAGAACAAAGAAGTCTGGGCAATCCTCATTCGAAGGAAAACTCTTTTTTTTTAAACCAGAGGCGGCAGGCAATAATGCAGATGACCCCTTAATAACCTTCTATGTAACTGAAACGTAAGGGGGGAAATGACCGAGCAATTCCATAGCAAGAGATTTATATGAATAGCAAGGTGGACTTGTTCAAAGAGCCGTGGTTTAATATATACCAATGATCCACAGATCAGAATCCTAGAGATTAATCGCTTTGGCATCATGATCTTAAACGTGACTCCCCCCCCTTTCTTTTTTTGAACAGAAAAGGTTTTCCGATTTCAAGCCTGGCCTGCCTTCCTTCCAAAAGGCTGCCATTCCAAGAGCACCCAGATATACAAATTCCACTAGGAGAAACACCATCAGAAATTGCCAAAATTTAAAGGCCCCATTCACATGGAGAAGTTGTCGTGCTAAAGACACGAATGACAGGCGGATTTTCGGTGCGTGATCACACCGCAACATCTGGGAAGCGTAGTGCACCCGTGGCTAACCCATGGCTTCCCACCGAAGATGCGGAGTAAAAAACTACTGCAGAAAGCGCACTAGTTTCCGGAACGGGGCGTCTGATCGCAGGGGCGGGCATCTGATCGCGTTTCCGCTTGAATCCCGTGGCATCCGGTGCCTGTCCATTTCCCATCACAAACCAGATTTTTTTTAAAGTCTCCACAGGATGTGCACAAAAGCCCAATGGCACATACGCAAACGTTGGTGAGGGGGAAAAAATTCCCGTTTGCCATGGAAGCGGCGCCTAGCGTTTGCCAGTGTGATCGCACCGCGCCACTTTTTTGCTGTGCTTCAGGATAGCCGTGTGATTGGCACCTAACGGCCTAACCACGGGAACTCAACGGGACGTGTGATCGGGCTGCCGTGCTTTACTTTGCTCCGGGGCAAACAACCACGCTCCCCCCCCCCCCGCATTTTTTGGCCCATGTGACCGGGGCCAAAATGTATCTAACAAATATAGAGTTGGTGATGTCACAACAAAATTTAGTGCATACTGTAACGCTAATAAGGCATAAGATGCACTGTTTCCTCCTTAGAAGATAAGACATAAAGTCCATGTAATCAGTGGAACTTGATAGGAGGAGTCCACATGGTCATAACATTTTCCAAACAGACTTTGCAAAGACGCCCGTTCTAGATACTTAAAAGAAGTAACTTCCTTCAACTTCTTCAGTTTGCCGGCTGCGTTTAGGTGGAACCTGATTTCAACAAGTTCAACAGACCACAAGGCTCATCGTGTAAAGAGCGAATCATAGGTCTGAGGCTTGGGTCACACGAGTGCAGTTTTCAGAAATATAACCAAGAGTAGACATTTAAAGAACAGGCAGTTGCTTAGTTTCAGAGGGTAGACATGTTGGCATGTATTCAAATCCAGTAGCACCTTAGGGACCAACGACAATGTTTTCAGGGTATGAGCTTTTGAGTCCCAATGCTCTG